CATTTTTCACTCTTATCGTTCACAGCCTTTATTTAAACGCGAATCGAGTGACTCGGTGTATAAAGAAGCGCGTATAGAGGGGCTGTTCCAGGCCACCTCCTTCCCGATAGAGAAAATCGCGACGATATCGTCGAAACTTTATAACGATATAGGTGGATAAGTGGCCCTGAAGAAGTGGGCTGGGTCCTATACACGGTAAAACTTTCTCGCGTGTTTTGATAGAAGCTCTGCACCGAACTGGACCGATATCAAGTTAGCGCCTCTCGCGTCCGACAGATTTAAACTTTGTTTCGCATACTTTAGATATCACCGGCGGGGGTTGCGATGCGTCAGAGGCCGTGCTGGAAAACAAGAAAAAGAAATAAAAAAGGGTGGGCCAACGCCTGTGGGAAATTGTTTATTAAACGTTTCGTGGGGCTGGTGGCTAGTATTGAATAAATAAAAGTTCGTTCGAAACACGACTGGTCGCCCAGAGTTTCACCCCCCCCCTCTCTCCGCGTGTACGAAAATTAATTTCACGATTTCGCGGAATTGTTTCAAGTCTCGCGCTAACGACGGAATTCTTCGTCACGTTGTAGAATTTACAATCGTTAATTTGGAAAATTGAAACCGACGATCTGAACGGTCCGGGCGGTGTACCACATACGTAAAATATTCCGTGATTCGAGTTGGCATGGTTTCAGCTTTTAGCATTACCAGCTTCGAAACGTATGCCCCGCCGTTAACTTCTAACTGCTGATCAAAGAGGATTATGAGCTTAAGTCGGTTTGCTTTGCAATAAACGCCGGGTTGAAAACAGCCCGATACAAGCCGGCGCAACAAAACCTGATAAACTTTCTAAACTGTTACATGTACGTACGATGAAATTGTTGGGAATAATAATAACGAAAGCTGTGAATATAAGTGAAAGAGGGAAAGAAGGGGAATTAAAAATGTGAGAAAACGCGGAACGAAAATTTCAAGAAATTTATAATACAACCGTATCCGAGTGCACTCGTATTTTCTACGGCGTTGCAAGCCGTATACCTTTTTATTAGAATTTCTGCATCCTGTATCAGGCCGTGCTATTCAGAAATATACAGGCGCGCAATTAAATTTCCCCGCATTTAATTAAAGCGAAATCGAGCGGCATTAAATGGAACTTAAGGCTGCTTCGTTACGTAAAAATGCTTATTTGCGTATCACGTTCATGTTTGTGTTCCGCTCGTAACTAAATAACTTTATACAAAATTCTCACTCGTTTATTCCCCTTCTGCCGCCGACCGTGAGGCGTATAAAAGTAGGTGAAGCTTGGGAATTTTTTTTCGTAGGTAGATGCTAAATGAAAAGTTTCGATTGTTTCAGAGGATATAAACGTAGCTCTCGGGATTTTTCTCGAATTTTCGAAAAGTGAAAACGTTGCAAAATGGGGGAGTTATTTGCTACTTGAGAAACCTCTTCTGCTAGATGGAATGAAACGTTTGAAATAAAAAATTCTTGTTGATATGAATAAAAATGTATTATTTACAATATAGCGTAGAATTTTTCAAAAATTGTGATTATTAGAGAAATGGTGGCAGTTTGAAAAGGAGAAACCACTCAAATTTAAACGTTTCTAAAAAATTAAATAATTGAGATATCGAAAGAACCTCAAGGTATATTGTAGATAATACATTCGCATTTGTAAATCAACAAGAATTTTTTATTTCACACGTTTCAATCTTTGTCAGCAACGGCGGCTAGCAATCAATGTTCCAGCGCAAAAAATTTCTCAATAATTCCGCCATTTTGTAACAATTGTACGTTAAAAAAATTGGAAGAGCAAGTCAAAAGTTGCATTTATATCCCCCCCAAAAATCGAAATTTTTCGCTCAGCAGTTACCTAAGAAAAAAATTCCCAAGTCTTACCTATGTCTAAACGCTTCAGGGTGGCTTAAGTACCCCCTCGAAACACAAAATTTCACAATTTCCCTCGAATTTCTCAAATTCAATTCACGAGTGCAACTCGCGTCGCGTTAACAACAAATCGTTCCGTTTTGCTACGGGATATCCAACGAAAGAATGCATTCCATGATTGCAACCATACAGAACGAAAGCTCGAAAGGAATCACAGAAGCGTTAACGAAAGATCAAGGAAATGATTTCACGATCTGATTGTCCGGTTATTTACTGTCACTCGCCACGTTACGTCGGGTTATTCACCATCGAACCATCCTTAGATAACGGGGCCTGGCCGCATACCAGCCGGCTGCAACGTAGCAACACAATAATGCCGCACGTGCATAACGCTAAGGTCCGATGCATAATAACGATTTCCATATAAAACGAAAAAGGCAGTTTGGTCCAGGAGGGCGCTGGCCCTTAATGAGCGATATTAACATTTTTATGTTGCCGCGGTACGCAATCGTCGCTCCACCTTTTTATCCTTTGATGAGTAAGACTCGTACCGGGATAGGTGAAACTCATTAGAAACTAACGAGAACAACCATTATCCGACGCGGCAACGTCAGGATAGAGTGAAATTAAAATCGAAAGGAATTGCTTTTTGCCTATTTTCATTTACCCCGCGTCATTTTCGTTTCATTTTCGTGACCACGTCACTCGATAGGTATGAGAAGCATTACTCGAAGGTAACGATGGTTAGAAAACGCGATGCGAAAATATTTCCGCTACCTCGCACGAGAAAATGTTATTCGCTGCAGAACTTTTGCAACGTAAAATTCTGGGTGAAAATTAAAACTGAGAAATTATACTTTTTCGACATGTGAACAGTATTAGCGCGGAATTAAGTAGGATTTTTCGGCAGTTTGGTCCAGTGAAATTAAATTACTTTTGATTGAAACGTGAATTTCGATACAGGCAAATGGATTTGAATTCTTTGGATTTTGTCGCGCTGAAAATATCGATTGTGCATAAATTCCATATTGCTCATTTCAATATTAACACTAGGTTTACGGACAATTACTATACACCTATCTCTACGCGTCAAACGAAAGGCGCACAATTTCTTTAAAAAACAACATATACACTATTAACTTATGAACGAAACTATGTGACATTACACATTTATATCAAATTTACGATAAACGTAAGTGGTAGCAGAGAAGTTTAAACAGTTTCTGTACTTTTCCTCGTGAAAATTCGAAATGCGTCAAAATGACGTGTTCCATAAACCTAATCTTAACCGTTTGAGTCCCACGCGCCGCTTTCGCGCTCTTCAGATTTCATGTCGAAAAAACCCAGCGCATTTGAACGATACGGACAACTGATGGCGCACTCACAATCTGACGAAATTTTTTGTATATAAGTAATCCAAGACATGCTTTTCATGCTTTTCTCGACATGAAATAAAAGGAGCGCTGTCGCATCGCTTCGATCTTTTCGCATCCCATTCAGAAAGCGCTATTGCGCTGTTCGGCTTTTTTCGACCGTGTTTTTTTTTAAAAACCTCTGGTACTCAAACGGTTAAAGTATCGTGTACTATACACTCAACACACCTGTACCAAACTCCTTCACCTTAACCCTTTCATTACTATTCGCGCCTATAGGCGTTTCGAAGATCTACTCGCACCGTACTACCCGATCCTTCTGGTGCACTTGCACTTTAATTTAATCCTCAATTTCATTCTTTACGCACGTCCACCTTGATGTTAATAAACCGAATTTTAAAACGTTACGGACAAAATAACAAATTTTGCAGCCGTGGTTAAAAATTTACCGCCAGTCGCGAAAGGGCTAGCTATTCTGTACAAAAATTGTCGATCGAAGAAAATGGAATACATAAAAGAAGAAAAGAAAAAAAGTGGCGGTAGTTGGGGAATTCTTAAAAGTGTCGTGTCGCCTAAGGTTAATTGCACGGCACAGGGCGCAGTCTAGAAGGGTTGAGCTTCACGCGGAGCGACATGCATGCAGGATCGTTTACGTTGGGCGCAGCCATCGGTATAACCGCGAAGTCGCGGCTCGACGCCGCCGGCAGACTACTGTGACAAATTACACATAATTCACGAGTCAATTTCACACACGGTTGTCCCGCCAGGGGAGACAGCGCCGTTGAATACGAGCGTGCCGGGCTAATCCGAGAAACGAACGGGTTGTATCGTGAACGGAAGTAAACACGCTAGCAACGATGATACGTGCGGATCTTCGTAACGAATGATTAGGTGTTTTACCAGACCGTAACGGTCGGTCAAAGCAAATTGCTTCGTTTAAATCTTCGGAGAAACAGGTGTCTCCGTGACGTATATTGACACTCTATCTTGCCAGAGAAATGTTTGCCAAAAGGAGCAACGGGAAATATGATATGGTACACGTTGAGGTCTTTATGCAGCTGAATTTATCGCGCCGCTGTATACTGTACGGTTTGTTAAGATTCTCGATTCGGCGGAGGTAATAAAATGCCAAGTGTCAAGCAGCGTTAAATCGTTAAGAAGAGCTGTTACGCGATTTTACGGCATCGTTTCGATTATCGCGATTAAATGGATAACTTGTTGGAGAGGCTGATAAGCTTGTTCGTTCGTTGTGGAAAAGTGTCGTTTGCTATGTTTCAACGTGATTAACACTACCTAGATGTTATTTAAAATGGAAAAGGGCTGTTTGTATTTCGATGCGTAAGAGTTAGATTGTACTAATGGATGATAGTTGGAAAAGTGAGAATTAAGTATTTAGATAGGTTGTTGTGAAACAAGGAGAGATTGTGACAAGAGATACATTCGTAAAAGCAACGCTTAATTTTCATTCTCCAGGGATGGTTTACAATGAGATTTTCCCAGAACTGTGTCACCAAACTGAACCAAACTGTGTCAGCAAACAGGTGGGATCCTCCGCGACGGCCATTTCTGTCCTAGCCATTGAACCGGACATTTCGAGAGCTTTTTGTAGTAGGTTTTTAGAATATTCTTATCACACCCATCATCGGTGCATTTAAAACTGCATTTAAGAAGCGAATCTGAATAAATAATAAATTCGTCAATCGGCAAGAAGAGTTGGAATTTCAAGAAAACTTTATTAACAGGCTTACGTGTTTAAAACGAACGCAACAGAAATTCATTTTGAAGGAAAAACAGCACTTGTGATCGAATTTCATTGCAACCGAGATGTTGATTAGTTACTGTGGCAGTCTACGCTTAAGAATTTCGAAATTGTCCAATTTTTAGAATTAGCATTTTACTTGGACTCGCAGCACCAAATTTTTGCACTATCGCGCAAATATACTATCGAGGGGAGGGATCGTATGTCAAAAGACACAACTTTGAGGATAAAACAAGTAGGTAATGCAAAACTGAGGTTCAAAGATTGCCTAAAATACTGAACTGCTTCCCTATACATAACTCGCAGTCTATAGTCTTAGCTAAGGCTAGAAGGC